TACTTTCAAGAGCTGGGACGAGGAGCTCGCTATATTGGCTAGGAGATGGGCCCTCCAGTGCGTTCCAAGGAAGGACCAGTGCAGAGATGTCGGCAAGTACTTTCCCATCATTAAAAAAATCAAATTAAAAAAATTTTTAATTGATTCGTGGTAGGGTTCTGAATGGACCAATTGCTGTCATAACATTTAGAAATTAGGTACTGACAATAAGTACTAGTTAATTGCCCCCTCCCCCATTTTTATGAAACATGTTACAGAGGACTTAATGTATTAAAAAAAAATTTTTTATGAACTGCTAAATGGAATTGCATCAATTTTCAAATGATATTCGGAGAATTAATTTTTTGCCATGGTTTGAACTTTTCACGGGGGTGGTTTACCCCCAAAATTTCAACCCTTGGAGATAATTTCGTTTTATACTGCAACTTATGTTATTTATTTTTCTGCAATTTCCTGTTATATATGTTGCAGAAAATTTGTCCATCGAATATTCACGAGCATACACTCGTAAAACACTCAAATAAAAATCGGAATTTCGTTTTTACGGTGCATATGATTTTTTAAACTTCATTCAGTCATTTTGTTCTGTTTCTACGAAAAAAAAAACAATAAAAAATATAGAAAATATGTGACACCTATATATGGGTCAATAAAAAAAAGTTAAATAACATATACAAAACTAGTCTTTATTTTTTATATATTTTCAATATTCCCCAAGTTAAAAAAAAATAAATTAAATTTTTGATTTTGACATTTTAATTATTTCGTCAACTTTTCCACTACCACGCAAAAAAAACAACAAAAAAATATTAAAAAATATTGATAACCTCCATATATTCTCCAATGAAAAGAATTGGTCAGACAGGATATTTTTTCCGTATTTTCCAAAAGCAAAATTCTTCCTCTCGGATAAATCCGATGGAATGTCACTCTCTCGAGAGCAGCTGTGATATTATCAATGAAATATAAAAAAAATAGTTATCAATGGTTGGCATTCAATTTGCTTTATCCTTTTTATCAATTCATTTATTTATCCAGAAAGATTCAGTGTATGGCAGAACATTCACGTTTGGCCCATGGAAGTGGTTGAAATGGACACGAGCAGCCACCGCATTCCATTTCACATACAATCGTGGCTGGACGACGTTGAGAATTTCGATACCGCCGAAGTTGGGTAAAGATCGAGTTTATTGAATTGCATCGTCGATTTCAACTTTATATGAGAAACTCCGGTGGTAGTCTATTGGTATACACACACCCACTCAGGCTCAACTCCATGTATTTGCTCGGCTGTTCTTTGACGTTTTCTTCTCCTCCATTTTTTTTTCTTCCTCACTTTTCTCTTCGTCTCACTCTCTCCTCACGGAGTTTATTCGGTACCTCTGCGTTTTGCCGGATGCACGTGGCATCATGCATCCCCTGAGGATTCCACTTGATTACATCCCGACCATTCCATTCAGTCGCCGACTCTTTGATGGCGGAATAAAACTATTACTTCGAGTTCAGAGGCTGTCGTCATTTTTATGATTCCTATATTTTTTAAGACGGGTACGACGCACCGGGAGAAATTTATTATAAAATTCCCCCTGATGACAGTAATCGGGGACATTTGGAAATTGTCACCGGAAAATCGGAGTGTAAATTACTATTTTCACGGTTGATAAATGCAAAGGGACATTTTCTTTGAAATTTCTCGTCATGGATCCGAGGATTAATCCGTAATCCGTTATTCCGCAAAAATTACTCAGAACCGCGTATTACCATGGATTATTGCGAAGGGAAATCTTGCGGAATTTTTCCTCAATTTTTCCCTCTACGTTCTATTAAAAATCTGTTATATTTTTAAATTCAGAAAATATTCGGTATTAAAGGAAAATTAATATCATTACTAGCTGATATTAATTTTTCTTATTTTGATTATTAATTGACGTTGAAATTAGATAACCGGATAAAATGCGTGAAAAAATTGAAAAATGAGATGAATTATAAGAAAGGCAGAGGTAATTCTATACAATTCAACTAGGTTTGTAACAGAAATTGAACAATACACTTTGAAAGAAAACTATAGCTTCATTTAAAGAATAAATCCGATAGGTGACGTAAAGATAAATAAAAAAAATGGCTAAAATGGTAGAATTGAAAAGTAAAATGATGCAGAAGCAATGTAAATCCCGTATATATCATTCAAAGGATTAATTTACCCTCAGAATGGTGGACTTTTCGCTAGAGGACAGGGGTGGGTACGTTGGAATTGCAACTGGAATGATAACCCGAGTGGGTTGTGGTCGGGCGTTGTACACTGTTGAGACGTGGTACCACCACCACCAGGGGATGGGAAATTCACTGTCGTCGATGGTGAACGGCTTGGAGATCCAGGGAGTGAACAACAACTCAACTGTACCAAGTGCCAACGTACACTCGACTGATACTGGTAACCGACTCGAGGTTCTCGTCTGCAATTACGGCCCCATCGATCGTACAGCACCAGGGAATCTCTACGAGGATGGAATGCCCAACAAATGTCCCATGGGATTTCACCCAAGTCCAAGATACGAAAATTTATGCGGTGAGTTTTACATCCCTTTCACAACATTCTGTTGGCATGTACTGAATAATTCTATAGCCATGTGTCTATGGAGCTATAACTACTCGGAAAATTTGAGCGATAAGTTTTCCATTCCATTGACAATATTCTGATGACATGTCATGAGTAATTCTATAACTATTTATCTATAGAGATATAACTACTCGGAAAATTCGAGCGATAAGTTTTTCATTCTATTCAAAAACATTCTGTCGGCATGTCTTAAATAATTCTATAACTATTTATCTATGGAACTATAACTACTCGGAAAATTCGAGCGATAAGTTGTCCATTCTATTCAAAAACATTCTGTCGACATCTCATGAATAATTCAATAGCTATATATCTATAGAGCTATAACTACTCAGAAAATTTGAGCGATAAGTTTTCCATTCCATTGACAATATTCTGACGACATGTCATGAATAATTCTATAACTATTTATCTATA